TCCTCAAAAATTAAACATAGAATTACTGTATAATCCAGCAAAACAACTGAAAACAGAGACGTAAACAGATATTATACACCGATGTTCACAGCAGCACTATTCAAAATCACCAAAAGGTAGAAGAAACCCAAGTGTCCATCGATGAATTAATGGATAAACAAAATGTGGTCTACATACACACAATACAATATTATTCAGACTTAAAAATAAAGGAAATTCTGTCACAGGCTACAACATGGATGAACCTTGGAAGCATGATGCTAAGTGAAATAAGCCAGTCACGGAAGGACAAATATTGTTTTGATGCCACTTATATGAAGTACCTGGAATAGTCAAACCCATAGAGACAAAAAACAGAATGGTGGTTGCCAGGATCTGGGAGGAGAAAGAAACAGGGACTTGTTATTTAACGGCTTTGGAGTTTCTATTCAGGAAGATGAAGAAGTTATGAAGACATGGTGGTGATGGTTGCAAGACACTGAATATGCACAACGGCACTGAACTGTACATGTGGAAATGGTTAAAATGGTAAATCTCATGTATATTTTTCCACAATAAAAAGTTTTAATAAGCTTTCTAATACTTTTAATAGATATTTGCAAAATAAATAGCAAAACAACAAATCCATAGTCCATGGGAAAGCAGAAAGGATATGTCGTTATAGTAAAAACAGCAGAAATGCCAGCTAACCACACCCCAACCCTGTATGGCATTATGGCGGTGAGGCCAGCTGGGGTCTGGATAAGAACAGAGGCTGGGACTGTGAACCAAAGGCAGGACATGCTGCAAACACTCAAAGATCCTTTCAAGTGACACCAGCACGGCGCCTCATTCCTCTGGCCCATTCCAGGCTCTTCCACTGTAACCAAATTCCTTGCTTCCACATTCCCCCGCCCTTACTGTACATACCACATCTCCTCGCTCTGGCTCTACACACATCTCACCCCACACAAACGGTCTGAGCGCAGAACCCATGCATGCAGCAGTGTGGTGCAGGGCTCAAGAGCACACTCCAGAGTCAAGCAAGTTTGGGTTCAAATCCCAGGTCCGTTACTCACTAATTCTGTGTCCTTGATGAAACAGCTTTGCCATTTGGGACCTCAATTTTCCTAGGCATAAAATGCACAAAACAGTTCCTGTCTTGCAGAGTTGTTTAGATAAGTAGATAAAGTAAGAAAATGCATGCCAAGCACAGGGCTTGGCATCTAGGAAGCTCTTGTGAGCACCAGTTGTTTTCTAATATCCCTGTCAGCACTGACCACAGTGCTGAGCACTAAACACCAAGTGGGGCTCACCAGACTTTCAGCATCCGTAGATGCTTATTCTTGGCCTGTCAGGCTTTCTACCCTGAGCTACATGCCTGGGAGTTAAGCTGTATAAGGTACAGTCTCTACTCCTGTGAATTCTGTCTTATTCCTACTTGTGTCTCCAGCAGCCCACTCAATGCCTGGCTCGTAGGTGACACCCAAAGTGTTAGAGGAACTGAACTTCTAAGTTTAAAATCTAGTGTGTGTTCATATGAGTTTGAGGGCTTAAAAAACAAACCTGTAACTATGAACACAAAGTATGAAAAATAAGCATGTGAGTAGGATTTTTTTAAAATTCTTGAATACAAAGAGAACACCTTATGTATATTTGACCTGCGTTCTTCAACATGGCTTTCACCTCTAACTGTGGGAATGCGTTAAAATTGCCATTTTGTGGATGAACAACTTAAGATCAGAGGAGTGGAGTGACTTGTGCTAGATCACAAAGATAATAGGCTTTAGTGGGCTGTAAGTTCAGAAGTGCTTCTACTTCAAGGACCTATTTGTTGACTTGAGTACGAAGAGGAAAATCCCATTCTCTTGCCCACATATTTGCATTCCAAGAGGAATGTGGGGTCCAAGTGACGTATGAAAGTTAACATTTGTGTCAGAAAGGCCTGTGAATTGCAAGTCACCTCTGAGTGGTGAAGGAAGAAGAAAAAGGCAATGAACAAGCCCCCCAGAGGCGCAGAAACACAAGTGACCTTGGCTTGGGGGTCCATATCTGGAACCAGCTGGTTATTTACAAACACAGAGATATAAACTTTGTAAGGACCTAGAGTTGCTGTTTATGGAGAAAAAAAAAAAATGGATATCAGATCCTACCTTTACCACCACTAAACAGCTTCAAGGATAAAGTCCTAAAGTGAAAGTTAAGTCATCTAAAACACTCTCATTCTGACTTCCACAGAAGCCATTTATGCAGGCTCATCTGTGAAGGTTTTATCAGGAAATCAGACCGATACTGGAAAACATCACCATTTGGATAAAAAGTAAAAGACGCAATCATGACTGGCTCCTAAAATTGAAAAGCTAACTAATTAAACTAAGCCTCTTTAAAAAAATGTTGGAAAAGGCAAAAGCTAACAGAAAAGATATATTCTTACTTATGAGTACAATAAATGAGAATAAAGAGGAATCACTTGGGTTCTGTACTTTAAAATTTTTAAGTCACTTGATGATTTCCAGATAGTATTCATCAGAAACCAACTGTGGACCTCCCTGAGCATTCTAATTCCTTTCTACTCACCTCTACATAAATGTGCAGGGCACTGTCCAAGGTACTAAGCAATGGGGGAAATTGGGATTAAGATTAGTAAAATCCCCTCTTTTCTTTCAAGAGCATAGAATCTGGCCATGCCAAAAACCTCTGGGTTTAACTACAGGTATTCCCTACTCTTCAAAAGTTCGCATTATGCCCCTCCCAGTAAGGTGGCACAGGGTAAGATTTATTAATAAAAGATGGGATTTGAGTCCAGACTGCACCCTTTGCTAGACCTGCGATCTTGAGTAGATCCATTTAGCCCACACTTAACACAGTGCCTAACACAAAGCAGGCACTCAATATATACCTGTGAAAGGAAGAAAGGTGTGCAAGCATCCACCCACGAATTAGCTGTACTTATCTCTGCAAGATACTTCTTATCAATGAAATGAGAATAATAATGTCTACTTTACACATCTCACAGGCTCAGAATGTACACAACCACTGTATGGTTAAAACTCATTAATAGGTTCGGATTGACGGACAGGTCAAATACAGACACACTTGGACTAATCAAACAATATTTATTTATCTAAAGCAAGGGTTGGCAAACTATAGCCCACAGGCAATTGAGATCATTATCTATGTTTGTATGGTCCATGAGATAAGAATGGTTTTTACAAATAAACATTTATAACCAATTTGACGGGAAAACTAACTTTTTATGCCAATTCAGCTAAATGTTATCTCACCCTACCAAAAAATGAATTCCATTCTTCTAAGTATTAGATTCTTAGTAGACTTGTGTTACAAAAAATTTTATACCCAATTACTATTATTATATTTTTAATTTTGTCAATTAAAAAACTGCAAATTTCCCTCTTGTTATTAAGTAGCTACATAATATCTCAATTTTGCTTCTTGGCCCACAAAGTCTAACATATTAACTATCTGGCTCTTTACAGAAAAAGTCTGCCATTCCTGATCTAAATAATGTACAAGAAGTCAAGGATATAACAACAAAAATATTTTCCTCATTAACCCTATCTTTTTTAGAGTACAATTCTGAAGAACATGAGGGGTTTTTGTTTGTCTGTTTGTTTGTTTGTTTTAATGAATGTATATTTTGCAATATAGCAGAAAAACCCACAATAGTGTGTGAGTGAGTGAAGGTCAGACCTTCCAGAAGCTCAACTGCCTGCTTCTAGCCCAGGTTTAAACAGGCTGGGCCAGTCTGGGTATGCGCTCATCTGGGCCAGGAACACATCATTCATCCTGACAGTATTATCTGTGGAGTACAGTACAACACCAAATACTCATTCGTCACCCTCAGCCTTCCAACTAAGGCATCATGGTCCAGGTTCGATCTTTTTTTTTTAATAATTTTTTTTTCATTTTTCCATCATAGTTGGCATATAATACTATATCGGTTGCAGGTGTACAACATAGTGATTAGACACTTTAATAACTTATGAAGTGATCACCCCAATAAATCTAGTATCCATCTGACACCATACATAGTTATGTCATTCTTGAACCTAGATCTGCAAAATGAAAACAAAGGTCCAGAAAACCTCTAGGGTCATAACAGCAGTTCCTTAGACCAGCCATTAAGCCTATCCCACAAAACAAAACTAGGTAACATAGACATAAGTCCTGAGTAAATACTGGGAATAAGTGATTATGCTCATAATCACAATTAACAAAAACAGCAATAATAATGATAAAATAAAATATTACAGATAAAATAAATAATTAAATAATTAAAATCCATTCAGAACACTTGCAATAGGCATATAAAGATGCATAAGGAATGGACTTTGCCCTAGATGAGAAATTAGGACATAGCAATCTCATGTGTATATCATAGTAAAGAAACTAAACACAGAATAGCTCTACTGAAAACAAGGTACACACAGGATCTTAGAACTCCAAAGTGGCCTCCGAATTACCTTCCTGGAAGCCTAAGCTCCCACAAGTACAGAGTTTGAAAACCACAATAATGGACAACCAGGAGCTCCAGATTTCTGTGTCTTCCTCATCCATAATATCGGGACAACCATAATAGCTATCTCAAAGGTTTCTGAGCATTAAATGAGATAATAAGTAAAAATTCTTTTTATGGTGAGTAGCACATAGTAAGCACCCAATAAATATTAGCTATTATTATCTTTTTTGTTAAACAGTTGTCATCATATTGTATATATTGTAAATATAATATTCATTTGTATTATTTCTCTTAATTAGACTATCACTATTCTCCATATTATCACATACTCTTTATTGGTATACTTTTAATTTAATGGGCTACAAAAGACACTTTAGTTTTGGATTTTTATAATAATAAGGGTAATTACTTCTGCATATATTTATTTACTTACTAACTGTATTTTTTTCTTATGTCTGTTCATGAGTCTTATTCAAGAACCCAATGGGAATATCCATGGTTCCTTAAAATTAATGTTGGTTCCAAGTGGAAACAAGCTTACCTTCTGGGCTCCCTGTCTTAAGAATGTGCTGGCAAAAGTTTCCAAAATACAGTTGAGAAAGCCAGCCCCTGTGATTGAAATCCTGCCTCTTTGAATGAATTCTGTCCTGCAAACAAACAAACAAACAAACAAACAAAATCTTTGATGTTATTTCATATTTGGATATTAAAGCTACACGGCTTCCCAACAGGATAATTATCACTTATAATCAACACAAAATAATATCCATAGTAATTCAATAATTGCCTGTCACAACAAAAGGCTTTGCTGAAAAGACACAGTTTATATAAGAATGGTCTTATTCAAACTAAAGAATATTTGTTTCCAGTTGCTAAGAGAGTAAATTTTAAAAGTTCTCATCACAAAAAAATTGAACTATTTTAGGTGATGGATATGTTAGGTTGTTGTAATCATTTTGCAATATACACATATATCAAATCACTATGTTGTACAACTTTAACTTACACAATATTATATGTCAATTATATCTCAATAAAACTAGGAAGAAGAGAAAACATATGAGTGCATTATTCTAACAACTGTAGAACACAGGATTTCTAGTCATACCTAATAAATAATTCTGTGATAGGAAAGTAAATGATCTTTAAAAATTGCTCTATTTGACCCACAATGAACAACTTTAACTAATTCTATCATGCTGCAAAATGGCTTTTTAAAATTGAGTCTGAGACAATTATCAGTTGTATAACCTTGAGTAAATTACTTAGATTCTCTTAACTCAGTTTCCTGACAAGTAAATTGGGAATAATCATTATCTTCCTTTTACGACTATTGAGAATGAGTTAATACACTTAACAGTAACATGAACAGTTCCTGACATACAATGATCATTCATTAAATGTTAGCCCATTACTAAAGAGAGACAAACAGAGACAGGAAAGCCAGAAGCCTGGCATGACTTCTTTCATCCTTGATTGGAAATGGAAGTGAGACATTTGATAAGCCACTACCATATTTAAAGTTCTACCAATATTAATTTTCTCCAATTTATAAAACAGAGATTTGTATAACACTTGAGAGTAACTTAACAACAAGATATGGACCAATCTGCCTATATGAGAATTCCATAAACCAGTTAAGAGGTTGCAGAACCCCAGGTGAGTGTAAAGCCAAGCAGAGCTACATCGAAGTGAATAAAAAACGTGGTTGCATTTACCTGCCATAGCCCCCATCCACCCAGCACAGCAAAGCACAATCAGGAGGAAACTCCCAACTACTAGCTTCACCATTGGGAGGAAAAGAATAGTGAAATGGATGTCCAACATTCTCGCTTTACAGGGGTACTGCCCAAGGAACTGGTTTCTATCTCACCTGCCTCAGAATGTTGAGGAGAATGGCAGTATACTTTGGATGCCTGGGGGCTGCTTAGAACAAAAGCAAGCATAATGGCTTATTAAAGCACCAGAGAGTTTGTAGCAATGTTGATAGACATCAGGGAGAGCAAAAGATTATGATTCTTGAGAATAAGGATAGACATCCTTAACTGGAAAATTACACACATATGCCCAAAGAATACTCCTCAGAAAAGGTTTGAGGCCCCCCAGAAAAACTCTATACAGACTGATTAGTGAAGGTCATCCCCTGCAGAAAGCAAGTCCATAAAGGCTGGAAAAGGTGGCTGTCTTTTCAAATGCCCAAGTCTCTCAAAAATAAAAAAGAAAGAAAGAAAAAGAAAAAAAAAACCTACAAAATATACAAGAAACAAGGAAACATGGCCCAATCAAAATAACAAAATAAATCTATAGAAACCAACCCTGAAGAAATGGAGATCTATGAATTACCTGAAAAAGAATTCAAAATAACCATTTTAAGGCTCAGTAAGGTAAAAAGAGAATACAAATAAATTTAGAAAGAGTAAAGGGCTTATGGGACATCACCAAAGAGAGCAATGTACACATGATGGGCTCCCAGAAGAAGAGAAAAAAGGGCAGAGAGCCTACCTGAAGAAAAAATAGCTGAAAACTTCATAAATTTGAGGAAGGAAATGGATGTCTAAATTCAAGAAGCTCACTGAACTTGATAAAAAGTCAACATTGAGAGAGCATCCATAAGATTTTCAGTGGATTTCTCAGAAAAAAATAAATAAGAAAATAAATAAATAAATAAAAACTGGTAGGGCCAGAATGAATTGGGATGATATATTCAAAGAGCTGGAGAGAGAAAAAACTGCAAACCAAGAAGACTATATCTAGAAAAGCTATCCCTCAGGAATGAAGAAATTAAGCCTTTCCCTAATAAACAAAAGCTGAGAGAGTTTACCACTAGATAGGTATATGGATTACACTTAACTCTGCCTTGTTCACTTATTTGTTCGACACACATTGACTGGGAGGTTACTATATGCTAAACACCATAATGGGTGTTTGAGGCCTACAGTGAAGGAGACCATCTCTGTCCTCTAGGATCTCAATGACTAGTGGGAAAGACAAATAGACAAGTAGGTGAGTGTCCCATCAGCAAATGGAGGCAAAGCATTCCATCGCAGGAAAACCACAAGGACTCAGGCAAGGCATGAAGGAACAGGCCTGAGGAGTTGCGAGTTTTCTGAAATGCTCAATACTTAACATGGGGCTGGATAAATTCTTATCATGGGAATGACCAGAGCATAAGGTGGACATGGGAGACGTTAGGAGAAGAGGCTAGAAGAACTAATGGAGATCAGGTTGCAAATGGCCTTCTCAGGTTGAGGAGTTTAGACTTTATCCTGGAGGCAACAAGGACTTATCTTCTGAGGGGCAGGTACAGATTAACAATGACAGGCACCACTGCTCATTGCCACCACTCACTGCTTCAGACAATCTCCTGTCCCCCATTTTCAGCAAAGTGCCTACACTCAATGAGTTCAGTGAGCATTTGTTAAATGAATGAATGAATTTAAAACAATCAAAATGATATTCCAAAGAAAATATTTCTTCTACCTTCTTAGATCTCTTGAGATAAGAGCCAAGCTTCCTCTATGTGTATTAGAGTGTGTGTGTGTGTGTGTGTGTGTGTGTGTGTGTGTGTATGAGCATGACGCTGACACTAAGAAAAATATTCTGAGAAAATTGTGGATCCAAAAAGCTGTGATTTTTGATAAAAATAATGATCATAACCTCTTAATTAGACTTTCTCTCGAATCCTGTATCAGGATTCTTTACATTTAGTTCACACACACAGAAAAACGAAGCCTTCGAAACACTTCTCTCTGCCCCCCACTACACACAGAGTTATCCTAGCCAATCTGACCTAAAGAGCCTAGGCAAATAGTCTAGGCAAAGCAGCTTCCACCTCTTAGATTTAAGCCTATTTAAAACGATTTGCTTATGCAAAACTATATCCTAGTGACACTAATCTTTCCTGTCTTTGTTCCAGATTAGTCAGAGTAGAATTTAACAGTGATTTTAATATTCAAAAATGAATAGTTGAGCAGTCTCTCACTCTTGGGAGAGATGCACTCTTCAGTCCTCAAGGCAAGTGTAGGTGAGGGAATAATAAGTCCTTCTTACATCATATTCTAACCAATATTTCTTTCTACAACCTTTGGGAGAAATAAGTACTCAGAAAAGCATTCTCAGGGTTGGTCCACTTATCGGAGAATAACAGGACAGTAAAGCAGGGTCACGCCCTTGCTATCAACGAGATGAGAGTTTATCCTATTATATTTTAAGACTGTCAGAGAAAAAAATGTTGCACTTTCCCTAAATAAATCATTGACAAAGCACATCATATATTTTCTGCTTACCACACATAGCTAACCCAAATTCTTCATGCTAGATAAGCTTCCTTGTATGTTCCTGTGCAAAACACAGCAGGTTACACAGCAACATGCAGTTTAATTTCAGCTTTTAAAAAAAAAAAAAGAGAGGAGATGATGAAAGAAAGACAAGATGAATAGATGGGTGGGTAGCTGGATGGATAAACAAATGCACAGAGTTGAAAATATTAACAGCAGCATCTCTGGGCATTAGAATTATAGGTGTTATTTATTTACTTTGTTGTTTTTACAAATTTTTTACAATAAATATGTAATACTTGGCAATCACCAAAAAATATTAATAAGGCCCTGAAGATAATTTTTACATAAATAAGTTATTCCTTAAAAGGCTCTGTGCTACCAAGAACCACTTTCAGCAAAGGTACATGCTAACTTCTACTTACCCTTCACCTAGTCTCATTAAATCACCTCTTAGCTCTCCTTTTCCCACACTGTGTAACCTCAGTTCTTTGTGCCTTTTGTCCTAAGACTTTCTCCCACGCCCGAGCTTGAAATGTTCCATGTTTCACTCAAGAGACATAAAGATGATTCAAGTTTTCCCACACCTGTCTTTCAGCTCTGTTAAACCGAAAGGAAAGACCGCATCACATTTATGATGTTATATCCTCTGGGTCACTTCTACCTTCAAAAAACTGTACAATAACAGTGTGTATCATGTGTCAGACAATGTATTATCTTCCAAGGTTGTTATTCTTAAATTTTTTTTCTTTTTTACTGAGAAAACTATGGCAAAGAGACGTTAAATCACTTGTCCAAGGTCGTATAACTTGATGTCATGTAGATTCATTATCTACCATCTCAAAACTCTAGTCCTGCCCCTTCTTCAGTTTATGACACAACTATCTTCCTAGTCTATGAGATGAGGAATCTCAGCAACATATTATGTGGTTCCCTTTCCAATCTATCCAAACATTAACTCAGTCTCCAGATTATATTTATTTTATTTCTAATATCCATCAACAGTCAGTGTCATTCTCTGCCTTGCTACTGTTACTACCTAGGTTTAGCACAGCATTTTCTTTCTCCAGAACCACTGCAGATGCCTCCCAATAGGGTCCTTGTCTCCAGCATGGATGCCCCATGATCCACACTGCCTCAGCTTCCTAAGCAGACATTGATCTTGTCACTGGCTGTTTACTTAGGCACAGAAAATAAAGCCCACATGCTCAGTTAAGACGCATCGAAACTGTTGCACGTAGCTATTGTTTGTTCATTTTCATTGCTGCATAGTGTTCTACTGTGTGAAAACACTCCAAATTGCTTATCCACCCTCCTGAAGACAGACATTTGGAACAGACCCAGTTCAGGGCTATTATCAACAGTGCTAT